GGAAGAATTTGACAAACTTTGCCTTTCACCTTGCCTCTCTGCATGAATTTATAACCACAATATGTCTCTCTCTTCTTTTCATGCCTTTTGCAACATTCAGATTTTTTGTGCTGTATCAGTTTTGAAGATTATTTAAAGTGCTACTATTTCTCCGTTTCTATAATTTCATAAACAACAGAAGAATACATGATTTATTTTATGAACATAATTGAGCTTTCTAAGTGTCATATTTTGCAAATAGCAGGGTTTGATTTTAGAAGTCTGAGACTTCTGCAGTCATAGAGCTGGTCTAAGAATCCTTCTGGCAATGCCACACTACAATTTTGTTTAATTTGGGTTGAAATTATAAGAATTAAGTCTTTATTACTGTGGGATGCTTTGCTGGATAAAATAGCCTTTGTTTATGGGGAAGGGAATGGGTTGTTTGGCATAGTCTTACTGTATAAGATTATTACGAGACATGATAGGTGAAAAAAATTTAAAATGTTCATTAGGTAAAGGAGCAGCACTGACATAAGCAGTGTGGATATAGCAAGGATTAGTGTAAGAAGAGTAGAGGAGAGGTGAATATGGAAAAAAGCTTAGGAGAGAAAGCTGAAAATAGAAGTTGGTTGACAGGTATGTAGAGGTAAAAAAGAAGCTAATTCAGAAAAATAGAAGTGTGCTTTGTAGTATCATAATTGACAAAGCAATCATGAGGATAATTATTGTGAGAATATTGTGATATTTAAAGTCTTATTACCAAAACTTACAGTATTTTATCATTAGGAAAGGGAGAGGCAAATGTGTTTGATTTGTAAAGTATGCGGATATCATGATTGCATTATATACAAATTTTTTTGCTTGTGGTTTTTGGAAGACTTACTGTGTGTTACGGAGCTGCAGATCATAAGTTAATAAACCATAGTAAAGATCTTGACTAAACAGTCATGTGACCTCAGGATCACTCAGTGTTTACTACATAGTTTGCATTTATGCAGACTGTGGGTGGACCTTCTGGCTGCCCATCACAGTTGTACCTATAGACGATTTAGCAGAATGAGGTGAATTCAGAAGATGGTTGACATAGGAAAAAAGCAGAGAATAAAAATTTAAGGTCATTCAGTTCAGGAAGAAGGAAAAGATGATTTAGCAAATTATGAAGGTTTCATAAAAACAGATTTTAGGGTTGAAAGATTATTCTGAATTTAAATATCTTAAGTTTACAGGGCTTGTGAATTATCATAAATAACATGCTTGGAAAGGACATGAAAAACTGCTTCTCTTATGAGGAAATTCTCAGCTATTCCTTTGATGTAACATGGTTTGGTACTTTGGAGTAGTCATGAGACTAAGTAAAATGAAGAGTGAATGTGTGAAATGGTGGGTTTGAGCCTGCATGCACTGGGTTTTGCCTTTTCAGTGATTACAGATAGGCAATAAAAATACTAAATCCAGCTATTTAAAATATTTAAATGTTTTTATTTTCTATATTATAAGCTGCCACTTGCCAACCAAGGTAAGCGTGATTTAAGAACAAAAATAAGATAGAGAACAAATAGAATATTGTTGTTGTTATTGTTATTATTTATTCTTACTATATGAGAGCTTGATTAATAAAAGTATTGCAGACATTTAGGCTATCGATTTATCCATCCATCCTCCATTTAATTTTCAGTGGCTATTTATCTATGGTAACCACATTTCTCAAATGATGTACGTGGTTTATCAACACTGTCTTTGATGGGCTTCTTAAGGATATACCTAGTTTTTGTTTGGTTTGTGGGTTGGTTGTTTTTTTAAAAATACCTTGTTGTTAAGACTGCAGCATGGTTGGAAACCTGGTTCTACATCTGCAAAGTCATCAACCCCATTGACTACAATTATTCCTTTCCCTGTTTTGAATACCCATTCCATGTCTTTCCCACTGAAGATAAAATAAGTAATACTGCTGATGTTCCAAATGCTGAATAACTTTATTCATGTAAATATTTGCTATATTACATCTTAGAAGTGGAGAACTGCTGTGTGTATTTAGAAGCTGTATTTCTTTTTGTCTGTCCTTTCTAATTACACTAATTTCCTGTCCTGCTGTAGAGCAAAGCATTCAGTCTGAAGTTTGGTACTTAACTTTCTGTTTGAAAATAGATGCTAAACTAAAATGTAGTCTGTGTCACAAATATCATATGGCTGTTAAAAGGCAAATATGACTCATGGATACCCTGGAAAACATACTGTCAGTAGAAAAGGTGCGTGTTGAAACTTGACACTAGAATTGTTACCCTTGTTGGTTAAGAAGGGTGAATACAAGACTAGAGAAGGTAAAAAGAATTCTACTTAGATTACCAAGGGAATCAAGATTTACCTTAAGAGACACAGATTGGTACAGTTCATTTAGTCTAGCAAAGTAGTAGCTGAGATGGCTACAATTGCTGGGGTTTGCTGTGGAGTAAAATGCCACATAAGGATAAAGAACTCTTTGAGACAGTGCTGGTGTCAGTGTTCCAGGAACAAATTTGAAAACATTGACTGTAAATAAAGTGAGTACAGCAATATGAAAAAAAGATCATCACCCCTGGAGAAATACAGTTCTGAAGCAGGCAGAGTGGGGAGAGAGCAAAAAAATTGCTTTGAAGATGGTACTTCAGTTTGTGAAAGGATGGCATGATGTGACTATTATGAGTTGACTGGAGTATGTGTGTGAAAAGACTTGGGGGGGGAGTTGTTTGGGTTTTTTTTTTGTTTGGTTGGTTGTTTTGGTTTTTTTCAGCTTGTTGAAATTTATTTTTTAAAAAGTATTATTCTGCTCTGAAATGCCAAGTATTGGAGATGCTTTCAGGCGTCATGTGTGTGCTGCGTGTTTTTTTCAGATGTGGAGCCTGAAGTCCTAAATCTTCAGGCTGAATAATAAGTCCACAGAAATCCACTGGTAGATTTTCTGAAGATGTTACTACAATTTAGTTTGTGTATACAATAAGCAGAAGGGAAAGCAGGTTTAACACAAAGTTACAAGGCTGGTGTCTCTTATGTAAACCCAGCTTTTCTGAAAGACAAGGAAATTCCTTTTGGTATTCAAGAGAAGATTTGCAGTGTTGCTTACTTTTGAGCCTCCAAGATGCAAATTGGTATGGATTATAGGAGGAACATTAGGATAACTGAATGTAACTTTTTTAATGTGAGTTTTATAAGCCTTTCACCTGGTGGATGTGCTTAAGCTACTATCATAAGAAGCTGCTTTTCATAGCTTTGTCATTTGTGCTTTTTAAATACAGAGAATTGGCAAAACACACATTTACATCCACTGCTATGAAGATTTGTTTTTTTGGCAGTGTGATTACTTTCAGAGAAAAGTAATTTATCATGTTGCTTTACAATGGTTAATCTGCAAAGTCTTAGTATCTTTCTGTATTGTTAAGTGAAATTCAGATTTGCAATATTCTGACACTCTTTTCCTTGCGTTGTGTTCAGAAATATGCCCATAAATAACAGAAACACTGAATTACCTTCCTTGCTGTTATTAGACTTGAATTTTATGTCATTTTGATTGTAAAGATTCAGAATATGAAAATGTGTGTAATAGTTCAAGCAAATGATTTGGTGCATCTCTGATAGTACATTCATAATGTTCTGAAAGATAATTGTGATTTTGCGCTTGTTTGCATTAATTAGGGTCATTCATTTGATCAGGAGAAATTCAAGGTCATAAATGCAAGTCTTAAATGTCTAAGTAACTTTGAAAGAAGTCATCATACTCTAGATGACATTGTTCACCATTTCATTTCTACTAAGTGCATTTCATTAAATATGTAGAGTTGGTTCCTGGTCAAAGACTAGAATCTCAGAATGGCCAAGGTATTAGGCAAAAATCAGTATTTTGAGTAGAAGTACAAAGACTGGAACAGGCAGCAGAGCTTCAGCTGATGTTTGAAAAGCACCTACAAATTTTAGCAATTTACTGGTAACTCTACGTCCTTTCCATCTCATTTGTTAATCTTGAATTGTGATTTCTCATTTGACTTGCCTATGGTTATAAAATTGCTTTGGAACTGTGGTCAATGACTTCGGTCATTTGCAGTGCTTTGTCTTTTGAGGCCATTAAATTAGACTATGTAAACTTCTGTAAAGCCTTTGATAATGTATAGCCCATATGTATGCATATGCATATATATACATCGGCACTCGCCTGCTGCCTTTTTTTGGAGATGTGAGCAAGAGAGAGTATAATATATTGGATAAAAATGTAATACCACTTTATATTTAGAAATCATTTTTTTTGAAAAAAAAAAATGCTTAAGATACTATGATGACACAAGAAGATGATTTATTTTTGTATTTACGTCTTATGTTTAAAAAAATTTCAAGATTTCAGAAAGGCTTACTGTCAAGTTTATTTCCTTTCTAGGTCCGTTGTAAAAACCGATCAGATACCGATTACATTGTACTGTAACCTAGTAGGATGGTTTAAAATCAATCTTTGCTTTTTTTTTTTGTTTAGGCCAAAGAAATAATGTGACCTTCCCTTCCTTGCCTTTCCTTTCCATCATAAGTCATGAATACCTTTTTAGTCCTTAAAGCAATCTTTCTGTAATGAAGTAAATACAATATTTCATTTGAACAAGAGGGTTGTCTGAACGGGTAACATGTCACTTTCTTGTCTTCCTGAAGCACTTTTGTCATTTTTGAACACACACCCCATTTTTTTTCGTGTTCTTCTGAGCTGAGGATTGAAATAGCCTGGTATTAAAACTAGCATGTGTTCTAATATATCTTATATAGGTTCTGATGTTTAAAAGTTTACTGCACTAGAAAATACTGTTTCTGTACTGATTGTGCAGCTATAGTTAGATTTTGTTTCTTTGTTGTTCTAGAGCTGGTAACTCTAAAATTTACAGAGGTAAACTCCTTTTTCAATTTTCTCCAGGAAAATACTGTCTGAGCTATCTGTTCAAGAAAAAAAATTGAAAGAGGACATAATTTTAATCAACAGTTGTAATTTTTGTTCTGCTTTTTTTCTTCTTTAGGAAGGTTCTACTGCCTCTGGAAGTAAACGTTGGGTATCACAGTGGGCCAGTCTGGCTGCTAATCACACACGTCATGACCAAAATGACATCAGATTGGAGTCATCTGTGACTGCTCCATTAGAAAATGGTATTAAAAGCTGTTCTTGTCATAATTCCTGTTGAAAAAACCTGTGAAAGGGAGAAAAGAGTGGTTATATACCTGCATAAGCAGCTTTCTTACTCAGTACCTATCTTCACCTGAAATTCTTTCATGTCATTCAGAGGAATCAGCCTAAAAACGAGCTCAACAACAGTGTTGTTTGACATGGCAGGAGATCGCCAATACTAAACTGAATGTTATTAAAACAAAAAATTTAAAACTTGTTTAATATTAAGGAAACTTCCACTTGAATGCAGTTTGGATTGGTCTGCATTGTATGTTTCTTTCCTTACATCTTTTTCTCATCATTGGTCCTAAACTGGATTTTAACAGGCTGATTGTTGAACAGTCCAATCTGAGACTTTGTAATTCAGTTATTATTCAGCTGAAGCATAGCATACTTCTATTTCTTGGAAACAGAAAACCTATGTTTCTTGAAAACTGCAGAAACCTTCTCAGCAAGGAACAGCTTCATCTCTCTTTCTTGGGAGTCCCAGATGTTCAGGGCTTGCCTCTCCTTGGTTAAACTATACACATTTCTTAGTTTAAATGGTTTGTTCTTTAAGATCTACACTTTTGACTGCAAAGGATTTGCTACCTTACTTTACTAGTTCTCTGTTGTTTTCTTTCTCTCAATTTCACTTTAGAGATGATGATTTAACACACAAATCCAGTGTCATTTTTATGCTGATACTGCTGGATTGGGATAGAGTAAATGTAGCTCTTCATGACAGAATTGACTGGTGACTACAAAGGGATGACATCTTAGTGAATGCTTCATATTCTGAAAGTGATATGTTGTTTAGTGATGAAGAAGTAACTAATTATCCATCTACTTGAGATTTGTCCTGCAATTTCAGCATTCGCTCTTATTCCAGAAGACTGAAATTTTTAGCATCAAAACAAAGTTAAAAAGATTAGGGAGAAAGGTGTTTTAGAAGTAGAAATGCTTTTCCGTGTATACTACTCAGATCTGAAGATCTGCCATCTCCAGAACATGTCCCATAACTTTTTGTTAGGCATTTCTGAGTAGAATGTATTGGGGGTTTTTTTCCTATAGTTGTGAGCATCTCATGTTTTTTTCTTTTTTTTTTTCCCCTAAAAATTACATTCACAAGTATAATATTTATTTGTTCTCTGCTTTTTTTATGTCTACTGGCTTTCTTCAGATTTTTAAGAATCCATGTTTGTTACAATTTCAGAGCAAGCTACAGCTTTGACTTTTAAGTTAGTGTCTCACCAGACTGCATCTTCAACTGATGAAACCAAGACTTTACTGCTTTCAGAGCAGGTCCATGTGATTCTCCCCCTGCTTAGACCACAGACCTGGTGCCAGCAGTCAGGCCTTCTGCACAAAAAAAAAACTTGCCCATTACTAAGTTCTTTTTTTTTTTTTCATTGTCTTTTTCCCCACCACCTTTTCGGGCACTCAAAGCAGTATAAAAGTGTAGTGACAGATATTTCTCTAAAGTATTTATCTATTCTACAAATCATATTAAAAAAAAAAAAAATTTAAAAAAGGACAAAACACCAATAATGGTATTGTCCATGTTTTCTGACCAAATTTTAGATCTTTTGGTAAGTTTAGATAACTCCTTTTGTTCCTGACCCAGGTTAGATGAACTGAACCATTGTCTGAAGGGCTCAATCTTGGATCCCATAGGCAATAATATTTTTTTTTTTCCTTTTTAAATTCCCTCTAGTCATCCTATGACACCTTAACTTAGTTGTAACTAATGCATGCATTTCCTAAGTGGATTTGTGGTAGGTTTATTTTACTGCCCTCAGATTTTAGATAACACTAATAGAAAGTATCTATGTTGGTTTATGTTCTTTATAGAGATCTTACCTGTACAATTTATTCTATACTGAAAGAAAGCCAGGTAACATCTTCACAAAAGAGGTGGCCTTTAATTCTGTGTATTATTCTGGCATAACAAAAGGAAGAGCAAGAACATTACTTTTAATTCTGAAGCTGAATAAATAACTTGACTCTGAAGGTCAAGCTGAAACTGAAATATTATTGGGAATTTCTTCCAAAATGTAGCTGCTGTTATGTATTGATCAGTAACTGAATTTCTATTCAGGTTTATATTCCGCAGATTGAAGTTATATGTAAGCATGTTTGTTTAACTGATTCATCAATTATAGTTATTTTTTCTGATAATTTACTTTTTGAAGTAAGTTCACATGGTTTTAAAATCATAGAAGGTGAGGACATTTATTAAAGCAATAAAATACATTTCAACTTTATAGTCTCATTTTACTTTTTCGGGAAGTTTACAAAGGAATGTTGCTTTTGATGTTGCTAATGCAAACTTTTGTGTAAATGCAAGGAATAATTCTTACCAGTAACTGCTGGTTCTATAGTAGCTTTTCCACCCATCTTAGCAGTTAACTTTGCATAGGATACTTAAAGTGAAAAAGGATGGAAAAGATAAAAAAAATCTGATATGCCTTGTAAATAGAATAATGGAGACCAAGAGCAAATTTGGAAGTACTTAAAAAGATCAAGTGTACATACGGAGCACTTAAAATCATAGCTCTTGAGACTGATCCTTTGGGTGGTTAATCAGTGGATTTGGTGGTATTTTGGTTTTTGTATTGTTTTAAATTGTCACTTTCAGATGGGAGACTAATTAGGATCTTCTTCAGAGAGATGTATGCTTCTTTTGCCATTATAACAACTTCCTGATTTAAGTGAAACAACTACTGCGTAGTGCATGCCTATGTTCCAAAAATTCTAAAATATTTCAGGAGAAATCCAGAAAGCATTCAACCACCATGGATGTAATGAAACTGCAATTTAATTTGTATGTCTGAAGACCAATTCACAAAATCTGACTTGTTGGCTTAGAAGACTGTATTTTCTTTAGAAACCTTAGTAAACTTCTATGTAGCCAAAGACAGTGATGAGCAACTCCACACCTTTGTTCTACTAAAGACCAAAATTCACCAAAAAAGCAAGTTGCATGCCTAAATATATATAAAAGATCTGCTCTGGTAGGTGTGTCTGAGAGAAGTAAGTCTTCACAACTAGGAATCATATTGATTTTCATTGAACCTCCTATTTTTTTTCTAATTTCAAAGAAAAATAGTCAAGGAGTTAGAAAACCTTGCTTAGATTTTAGAGATACCTCCTGCTTCTTAAGTGAGTGTCCTAATACAGATTATACAAGAAAAGGTGTGAGTCATTTTATGTTCTTCATCAAAGGTGTGACACTGTGCAAAGCAAAAAGAAGGATTGAAGAGCTTGGACAGAAAGCAGCAGATATGTACAATTGTATACATACAGCATGATTGTTGATTCTCAATTAAGTACTTACAGAATTCTTGCAGAGAGGGAAGTCCTATAGTGTAGTTTATATTCCTAGAACAACCAGTGTTGGTGGCAAGCCTTGACAGATCACAACAGGGTATGCAGGGCAGTTTATAGATCTCTGGTGAAAAGTGAAGTGACAGATGTGTGTGAGGGCGTGTGCCGCCTTATATTGTAACGACTGGCAAATGAACTTGCAAAAAGAACTGTTTTCTAGCCAAACACTCAAAGTCAAAGCAACTTGTAGAACAGTTGATATTATCTCCGAGTAACAAAGGTTTGTTTCTGACAGCACAACCATTATGTTTGTTAAGTGGGCAAAGAGGGCACAGTCATGACTGGTGAAAAATAAAGTTTGGTTTGTAAAATGGGGATATTCAGCATCAGTTACTCCTTGCAACAATTCATGGAATGGACATATTTTTCTGCCTAAAGAGCATTCTGTATCCACTAAGAATTCAATGAAAGTGGTTTAGCAATAGTTCTGTGTTCTTTTGATGTTTTTTTATGTATTTTCTATATATTTCTATACTATAGTGTCTTGATTGGGTTAAAAGCATTCTTTTTGCTCCCTCAAGCATAATAAATTCTTTCCTCATGAATAGGGATCTTTTTTTTCTTCCTGTAGGGAAGAAATTCTGCCTGTTTGTAGCAGAACAGGAGGAAAGGGTGTCTGCCTTTGCAGTCTTACCCTGCTTCTGAAATGACTCCTTCCCTTTTCTTCAATATGCTAGTTGTGGAACGTGGCTTTTGCCTAATGAGAATAGGACAAGCAGAGAGCTAAATCATAGAAAGTCCAGGTCATGTTCAAGAATAAGAAAATTATTTTAAGAGTTATCTAAGCAAACAGCTTATAGGGATAGTCAATTCTCCATCAACTGAGATTTTTTTTAGAACTTGTTAAACGTTTTTAAGCATATATTTTTCTAAGTGTAATTGATCCCGCCATAGAACAGAGTGACAAGTGACTTTTTTCAGTTATTTTTAATGTTTTAGTTGTCTTAGTCATAAGAATTTAATGTTTCTGTTTACCTTGCTATTGAATGACTTCTCTTTTTTTTTTTTTTTTAATGGTGTTTTTTTTTTTTTTTTTTTTTTTTTTTTTTTTTATTCCTCTTTCATTTTTAGACACAGACATCAGTGAGTCTGGTATTTCTGTTAGAAGCACTGGTTCAGCTGCCTCTATGACCAGCCAAGGTGAGCGAAAGAGGAGGACACTTCCACAGCTTCCAAAAGAGGAGAAAGTGAATGAAAGCTCAAAAGCAAAAAGTACATCTCATCAGAGATCAGAAATAGGTGAAAAGCAAGACACTGAACTCCAGGAGAAAGAAACTCCAGCTCGTGCCTCAGATGCTGACAGCAGAAGTATAGCTAAGTCAAGCAGAACGATGAATGGTCTTTCACCCAAAGCCACTGGAGACAAAGGTTTTTCTTTCCCTAGCAATTCCAGTAAAGAGAGAGTTGAAGCAGGCAGAGAAACTTCCATGGTGAAACAAGCTTTAGCAAAAATTCAACAACAGGAAAGAAAAGAGCAAGGACACTGGACACCCACAAAATTATCCTCTACAAAACCTGCTGCAAACCATGCTGAGAAAGGGAGGGAGGAGCTTGCTATGTCACCCAAAACTCTGGATAATCAAGACAAAGCTCCTGGACATATTACAGATAAAGCAGAAATGAAGTTGGTTCAAAGTGAGGGAAAAAGAAGAAAAAATGAGGAAACTATTAAAGGACAAAGTCCTAAAGCGTCTGGAGGAGAAAAAAAGGAATCTTCAAAACCGTTAGTGAGGCAAGGTAGCTTTACTATAGATAAGCCTAGCACAAATATACCTATAGAACTTATTCCTCACATAAATAAGCAAAGTGGCTCTGCTACCCCTTTAGTATCTGCCAACAGGATACGTGACAGAAGTGATTCAATGGACACTGATTCCAGCCTAGACACAACACTCATTTTAAAAGACACGGAAGCCGTAATGGCTTTCCTTGAAGCTAAACTGCGTGAAGAAAATAAAACTGATGAGGGCCCTGATACTCCAAGCTATAATAGAGATAATTCCATATCACCAGAATCGGATGTAGATACAGCCAGCACAATCAGTCTTGTTACTGGTGACACTGAAAGAAAATCCACACAGAAGCGGAAGAGCTTTACAACCTTATATAAAGATAGATGTTCCTCTGGTTCCCCTTCAAAGGATGTTTTAAAATCTTCTGCAACAAGTGCCAGAGAAAAGATGGAAAAGAAAACTAAAAGTCGATCTTCAGATGGCGGGTCTAGAGCTGATGCTCGCAAAACTGTGCAATCCAGTGGAAGAATGAGACAACCGTCGGTGGATTTGACAGATGATGACCAAACATCTAGTGTACCTCATTCTGCCATTTCTGATATCTTATCATCTGACCAGGAAACCTACTCTGGAAAATCACATGGAAGAGTTCCTTTTGCCTCAGCAGATGAACTTTTACATTCCAAGATGGAAGGAAAGTCAGCCAAATCAAAAACCTCCCCTGTTGCACTTGGGCAATCTAGTAAATCTACCACTCTTCCAAGACCTCGTCCCACAAGGACTTCTCTCTTGCGCAGAGCACGTCTTGGTGAAGCCTCAGATAGTGAGCTTGCTGATGCCGATAAGGCTTCAGTGGCTTCCGAGGTGTCCACTACAAGTTCTACATCAAAACCTCCATCAGGGAGGAGAAATATTTCCAGAATAGACTTACTTGCTCAGCCTCGCAGAACTCGACTTGGCTCCTTATCAGCCCGTAGTGATTCTGAAGCAACAGTAACTAGAAGCACTGCCTCATCTCGTACCCCAGAAGCTATTATCAGAAGTGGGGCAAGGTTAACGTCAGCAGGAGATAGTAGTAAAGTGTCTGCTAGAACTCGAGCCAATAGCATTTCTCGACTTTCAGATTCAAAATCCAAATCTTTGGCTTCAGCTCATAATTCCCCCTCAGGTACGTGAGATAATTTTAACTAATCTTTTACAATATCACAATACTACATCTTTTTCATATGTGGAAATTTTTTTTTTTTTTTAATTTATTTCTTTGGTACAGTTCTTATGAAGCATTTGTTGGTTTTAATTGATGCAGTCTTCAGAGTAAGAAGCTTCCTTAGCGGGGCTTGTGGAAGTTTCTCACTTAAAATCAGAAAGACAAGAATCTGTAGTCCTTTAATTCTGATTGCTTGCTTTTTTTTTTTTTCTTTTTTTTAACTTGAAACCAATAACAAAGAATTGCATTGAGACATTCAGATGTGGTAGCACACATTTGCAGGTACAAAAACAGAGCAGCGGTCTCTGCTCAAGTCATAGTAGAAGTTCAAAAGGTCAGCAGCAGTTTTTACTACACAGAAGATACAGTATTTATTTTTAAGGTAGGCTCATGAATCCACTGAACTACACATGTTCCCTGAGGTGTACCCTGAGCATCTGTAGGATAACTATAATTTAAGATTATTTTCCAGACCTACTCTTTTGCTGACTGCTTGTCCAACTAGGAAGGTTATTACCATCAGTGGGCAACACATGAGTCAGCCAGATTCTTCTCTGGTCTTAGATGCAAGGTGGTCCACCACTGGAGGAATGACAGACCAATGTATTCACTCATGACTATGTGTCATGCAGCAAAGGGAGCAAGTTGATTCCACAACCAGGCCATGAGGGAAGGAAGGACCCAGATGATCAGTCTGATCCAAATCATATAGTAACGGCCAGGAGAAAGCCTCATAATTCCCCTCCTGTCTCAGCCTTGTCCCGCTGTCGCAGGGAACAGGACTTGCTGTGAGCGGTCTGGGAGCCTTTCCAATAACTGGAATCTTTACACAGTACATCTGCTGTGTAGATGGACTTCCCCAGCCCCACTGCAAGTAGAGTCAGCTCTTATGTGATTAGCTTGGGGGTGGGACAAGATGTTAATGTGGAAGGTGGGGGCACCTGGTGGTGATCTAATCAGTTCCCATGCAAGGCTGGCCAGGCCCTGCGTGAAAACAAGCCTTGGAGTAGTTGCTGTTCTTTGTTCCAAATCATGATTTATGATTTCTTCATGATTTCCAAATCATGTTGATCTTATTTTGTGTGGTAGTTCCTTTACTATAATATTATTATTTATATGGAAGGAAAAATCTGTATAATTGCTTAATTTTAACCTGTTATTCTGTTACAAGTTAACACTTGAGATGCAAGTGGTGTGAAAGGTTCCTGGTTTGTTTCGAACAGAAATATTAAATCAATTAAATGTGGTAATTCTAAATAACTGAACTTTCACGTGGAACGAATATCTAAAATTTATGTCCTCTAGCTTTTTGAAGTGTTATAGTAGCAGCTTGACCTTATTTGAAGCCAATTGACAATCTACGAAAAAACAAACAGAATAGCTTTCTGTGTCACGTGTTGCTACTGAGTTATATATTCTCTTTTACTGCTTCCCATTTGGAGTTTAATCTGTTTAATATTGTGACAGGTATCTACAAAGATACAAAAAAAAAAAAAAAGGTGAAACTTCAGAGACAAATTCAGTCTTTCCTTTTAAGATAACATTGGAAAAGAGTAATGTTTTTGGTTTTAATCAAAGTTTTAAATTGATGTGTGTAGCCTGAAAGGTGGCAACATCAAGCCATGGAGGAGTGTCAGTTAAGACTGCTTCTATGTTCGCTTTAATAATTAACACTACCTGACATTGTGATATTGTTGATTTTTGAAAAGATAAATTGCAGCTGCCACTTGTCAATTCACTGCTTCTTGTCTTTTCTGCAAAACTATATATGGATTTTGAGTTTTGTGTCTGTGGGAACTGTTGCATGCTTCTTAAACTTTTCCCAGGTTGCTGCACTAACGTGGTTTGCTGCTTCTGTTCTGGGGATTGGGTGTATCTTTCTCTTCCCCGTCTACTAGTCTATCATGGTCATCTTGGTTTAATGTCCATGTCATTTACCTGCATTTCACAGTCAGGGTTTGTTGTAGCTTGTATAAAATACTCTGTTTTCAAAAGAGAAACAAATCCATCTTCTCATGGGCTACCCGGACATAATAAGCTAAAAAGACCATTGTTAGAAAAATTTACAGGAGAAATAGCTTCCGTCATAAAAAGCTTTATCAGTTTAAATATAAAAATCAAGGCGAAACCTGTATCCATGGAAAGGTGAAAATCTGAAATCAATTAATAAAAGTCAAATACTTTCAGAACAAAATCATGGCTTAATAAATCAATCAAATCACGTTACTATATAGGCAAAGAATATTATTACTACTGTTCAGGATTTGAAGTCACAGATCTCGTCTGTATCAGTAGTCCTATTGTATAATTTTCTTATTGGACTATTTAGAGAATACTTTAAGAAAATAAGAATTGCTTTAAAAATAATGGAAACTTCTAAAGTATATAGGTCTCTGTGCGTGTGTATATATATATATCTCCTATTATATATAGGCCACTACTCTACTGAGTGCATTTTTCCCGTTAACGTCTTGTAAAATTATACTAACAACTACCCAGAATATCTTGTAAAATTATGCTAATAACTACCCAAAACATCAAGTGATTAATATTATTTATTATTTTATCCTTAGATAATTGTATTTGAAACACCTTTGAATAGAATGTGTTGCTTTTATGCAATATATAAAAATGGAACATAGTAGAAGCTTTTCAATCCAAAGCATGTAATTTCTGAATTTTAATTTTTTTTTTTTCTAGAAAAGTCAGCAATTCATTTAATTTTAGCACTATGGGAAATTACTAATGAGGTGCCTGAAAAAAGCACCTCAGCTGTTTGAATGTGTTTTACTTCAGGCACATTTAATCAAGCATAACAGTGACGTATTTTTTCTCTCTCTGGACTTAAAAAGGCTGGCAAATTAATGACCATTAGCAATATAGGATTTGGTTGTTTTTTTCTTGTACTAGAAGACTTGTTGCTATCAAGGTGTTTAAAATGTTCCATGGGTTCCATGGTTTGGTTATTGTTACCATATTATAGCTCACCAAATGTTGGCGGCAGAATCTTGCTTCTTAAATCCAGTCTACCAAAGAGAAAATTATTTCACCATTTCCCAAATATTTTAGAAAATTCAGACACACATCTCTGTAAAAAAGAGGCAAAAAAAGATGTAGCCACTGGATTTTTTTTTTATTGTCTTGTACTTCATGTGGATGAATTGCAACATAATAGCATTAAAATTGTCAGACCGGTCAGCAAGTCCATAATTTCAAGAAGCTTTCTGAATTCTTGATACAGTCAAGTATTGCTTACTTTTGTATTAAAGGATAAGCAGATAAATAGAATGTCTTGGATGAGTACCAGCATTAGAGTAATTACTAGGGTGTTTCTGTGGTAGGGGACTTTATTACTGGTATGTGAAGACATATGAAGGAGAATTAGTAATTTTGTAGCACAAGCAATGAAAGATTTAATCAAGGCACTGAATCATGAAAGAGTCTGATCAATAAAAACAGGGAAGACCAAAGACCTTTTCTCATAAATACAGAGCAAAATTGAAGATAATGTTACAGACAGAGCTATGTATTTGGAAAATAAAAAATGTGATCACACCTAGAGCAAAAATGTGATCAGACCTAAGCTGCAGTTGTGTTCAGCAGCTCTGCTGGCTTGCTGACTTAGCTGTCACTGCAGATAACTAGCAAATAGGTTGATCAAAGCTGTTGAGGTATGTCTAAGAAAAAAGAAAATAAAAGAAGAAAAAAGAAGAAAAAAGAAAAAAAAGAAAGTGGTTTGAGTATGGAGAGAAAACAACCCTTACTAACTTCAGTATTATTGCAATACTGAGCACCAAAGTATTTTATAAGGGACACGCTTAATAAAAGTCTGTCCTCAGATCTTAAAAGTGAGATTATGATGTCCAGATCATCAAATTTGCCAGCTTAAGGTGTTGTTGATACTTCTCACAGGGTAGTCACTAAACTAGGTTAGTCTACTGATTATTTTCTCCAGGGTTTTGGAGGATTTTTTAGTTATTAGTACTGGTATTCACAGTCTTTGGTGTCTGAGGTAACTAAATGCATGGTAGCTTTCAGAAATCTACACAAACTACAGTGACATTTTGGTACTGCATGATTTACAGATAGTATTACAAGCACATGTGTGCAAATGCTAAGCAAAAAGCTGGCTTAATGGGAAACGTGCTTGGATGTTGCTTGGCTTGAATCATAGAACTTGGAGATTTTGACCGTTACGCCTACAGTAGAGTTTTCCACATATTAATGAGAAACTCATTGATAATATATAAATAACCAACATTTTAAGTGCTTAAAATTTAAAGGTCTTATACTACTATGTAGGCAAGTGTTAACGATGTCATTTAGGTTAGTATCTTTGAAATATTTAAGCATTTACAAGATTCAGTATTTTTGATTGAATGTATAATTTAAGAATATTTTCCTAAAATGTGTGGGTGGAAAAGAGGACCTAAGACTAATGTCATCAATATATTTTATTTAAGCAAGTGCTTCTAGTCTGGATGTTTTAATACGTTTTAACATGATAAAACACTATTTTGTACACAGAGAAATTCAAGCTTCTCCCAGACCCAGATCCTGATGTTGAATCTTACAGTGGTAGAGTACTAGAAATCAAATCTGTTTCTGATATTTCACTTCTCATTCAATTTTTAGTTTTTTAAATATATGATTACATATGCTCATTGTACAGTGCCGAGTTGCTGGACTAGCTCACTTGAGAGATTTTAAGATAATTATTTAATATTCATTTTGTTGCATATAATTTGAGCTGGGACAGAGAATTTAAATACAAATTGATGATAAAATGTGGGCCCAAGTCATAAAGCTCTTTGAACTTTGATCACACATTGCTTGCATGCTGTTTGTGGGGAAATGTGCTTTTTCTGCTTGTATTTTACTTCCCTAACGTAAAACAAGTCTGAAACCTCTGAAAATAGAAGAGTAAGTGACTGCAGAGACATTTTTATTTTGTTCAATAAAGTTAGAACACTAAAAATTAATAGTAGAACTGGACATGATTTGAAGCCCACATTTAAACGTGAAAAAAAATTACGCAGGCATATTTTTGTTTTCAGCGACTAAAAATCCATTATTTATGTGAGGGAAGGGGTGTAAGCTTATACACCAATGTCATATTCTACATAGTGTAGTCTTTGAGAGTATTACACGAATTGTATTCTCAAATAAAAATTACTTTCATTATTTGTTACTTAAATTCATATTGATTTACACTTCATTTGTAATTTTTTTTTAATGTTTCAGGAGAAATTACTTTTTATTGTTCTTAGCCTAAAAAGAATATAACAATACTTAAATATATAATTTTCAAATTACCAAGAGGTGATCAAACACTTCTTAAAATTTCTACAGGAATTATAGAGCCTCATGAATGTCAGTGAATTTGGGGGAGCTAAATCCCCTGAAAAAATTTAACAGGTTGCCGTGATGAGCATTCCTGTACTCTAATTGATATCTCTTCCTGCTGGGAATGTTTTGAGGGTAGCATATCAGAAATGTGTTCTCTAGATTTTAGTAATTCATAGAGGGATGAGTGCCTCCTACTTAGTTTCAGTTCACTTACACCTCAGGCTGTCTTCAGCAACATGACTGCATATGCTTTATGTGCTACATGTGAGAATGTATGTTTTTTTCTCTGAGGCTGCTGGTTTTGTAGATGTGCTGCTGATTTTTATAACAGTATTAATTTTAACATATTTTTTGTGGAATAAATGCATAACACATCTGGGATTTTTATGCTTTCCTTAGTATAAGCATGCATTCCAGGCTTGGTGCCAGCTCCATCCTTCCTTCACATTTCTTCAGGTGTTTTTTGTGTATCACATAAACATTGAATGGGAAAAAATCTGCAGAAAAAGTGCAATCTGACTGTATACTTCAATGTTAATGAATTGGGCCCATGTTTTATAATACAGTTTTCTTGAGCTCATATACAACTACTGGCTTTTAAATTTTATTTCACTCATCATTATACAAAGAGCATAATTTTTACGTTTCTATTAATATTATTTAACACAAATTTTGTAGCTTTCTTTGTAAGATATAGTAAATAAACCTTTTGTGAGGTATCTGGGGATTGATAATGAATCGTGTATTTTTGTGATGTTACTGAAATAATGGGGTTTTTTTCTTATTAAAGATGCAATAATATTATTTTTTTTTAATAATTAAACTAATTTAGTAAGTGCAAGATGGAGGCGCTTTCCTACAGATTATGCTTCCACCTCAGAAGACGAATTTGGATCAAACCGTAATTCCCCTAAACATACCCGTCTACGTACCTCTCCAGCCCTGAAAACCACACGACTGCAGAGCACTGGGACAGGAGCTCTAAGTAGCAACACATTCAAGCACAGAATAAAGGAACAGGAAGACTACATTTGTGACTGGACTGCCCACCGAGAAGAAATAGCAAGGTAGGTTTTAAAGGATTGCCTCTAAAATAGCAAAGACTCAACCAGTTATACAGGTACATATACAGGAGAAAGAGAGCTAATGGATTTTCTCTATCACTCGACTTACCGTTTCCATTCACTAACTGAATGGGTGATTTAAAATTCTTCTTATGAGAGGCTGGCGGACAGAACAGTCATGTTACCAGCACATCTCTTTCTAATGGAAAATGGTAAGTCATTTCTGACTTATGATAGCCACGTCTCAGAATATTAACTTCTAGTTGCGTTAGTGGGACTTGCAGAAGTACTTAGTGTAGAACTCCTAGTTGCTAATGGTGTATTTCCTGAGACTGAAGTATTTCTGATTTGTGTACTACCTTTACATTCATAATGAAGTAAAGTTTCAGATCATTGCATAGGCGATGAAGAGAGGAAAAAGTGATTTTGGCATTGTGAAAGGTAGTGTGTTCATTTTAATTGTTGGCTTATATAAACATTATTTCATGTTGGGTATTTTCCAATTTAATCATATGTATTCATCAAAAAGTAATTACTTCTATTGTGAGTTCTTGTGATTAGTATAGCAATTCCTCCATTATTGCTAGTAGCACTTTGCTTCAAGTGAACCAAGGCAAGGCAGTCAGTTCTACATTCTGGTAAGTGGTTACTCCCACGTCATGTAATACCCAAGCAGTGAAAATCTCCAATAGCTTGCACTAAATAAATAAAACAATGTAAATATATAAATGTTACTTAAAACTTAGATGCCAGTGTTCAGGTCCTGAACCTTTTCACAGAACTTAATTTGGAAGCCTAAACAAGAAAAATGTTTTCCTTTTAAAATTAATCGTAACACCACGGTCTCACAGATGTGAAGCATTGTGTTTTGCTTAGCATGATTAGTTTTTTTGTTTCCTTCTGTTTACTAGTTTTCAGCTTTTGTTTTTCTAGTTTAATCTGTTCAAAGGGAAAGTACTTCAGGGAGTCTGATAGCATCATAACAAATCATGAAATAAACATCTTCAAAGGTGTCTTCCTAAAACATCTCTTTCTTTCCAAGAATCTAAAGTTAGAGATGGATATAGGTAGGAATGTCTATATATGGGGAAAAAAATTGAGGATAGCCATCGCATATTAGTTCCTTCTTATAAAAAGCGCTGCTGAGCCTCTACTTCAGTGGAATGTCTTGGTACATTTTGCTCATCTAGGAGAGATTGACACTGAAGTAATGGATAGTTCAGTCCCAACTTACTTGATGCTTAGTTTTGCAGTTTTTTTTCCTTCTTTTGGGTTTCTTAGCATTTTCTTCATTTAGATACTGGTTTTAAATTTGTTTTGAAGGCTATGTACTTACTCTACTGTTGTGGTTTAACTTGAGCCGGCAGCTAAACACCATGTAGCCGCTGCCCACTGCTCCCTCCCTCCCATCACCCGCCCCCATGTGTTAGGGGAGGAGAATCAGGAGGAAAAGAAAACAAAGCCCCGTAGGGAGAGGACAGTTTACTAGAACAGCACAAAGAGAGGAGGAACGGCAATAATAACAATAATACTAGTGAAGTAGTATATAAAGTGAGTGAGAGAAACTGCAGATGCCCTATGGTACCTGAGATGCAGCTCTCCCTGCTCCAGCTACATGCAGGTGCCACACACTGAAAAAAAGCACCCCTCTGTGGACCAGGCCTTCCCCGTATATAGAGGGCATGATGTAGTTATGGTTTCAAATATCTCACTGGCTGGTTCAGTTGTTTGTGCCAGCTATGGCCTCAGCCAGCTGCTTGGGAACATTAACCCTATCGTGACCAAACCCAGAACACCTACCTTTTTCAGTGGGAGTAGTGAGAGGCTTAAGTCAGCCTTATCAGATTTGTGATGAGTGTATTTAAGGTTAAGAAACCTAGCACTTGGCAGCTGAGAAATGCCAGACTACTGTCATTTATTGTTACTGCTTCAAACATCAGTTTTCTTGGTTAGTCTTCTCCACAGAGTCCCCCTGCTCTGGGTGACTTGTTGATCCTTTCTGTGCCTCCATATCTCTGTGTACTCATTCACAGTATTGCTCCCCTGGCTTTAAGTTTAACGTCTGTCCTTTATAAGATGAATTCTGGCTTTATTCCCTTTGCCTTGCGAACCGTAGTCTCCCCTTTAGCATTGTGTACCTTGCTGGTTTTTTACCTTCCCAGCCCTCAGTCCAGCAACTATGATCAGAGTCCCTTCACCTCTGTTCAAACTTTTTAAGAAAGGAATAGACAGTTACATGTTCTCATTAAAATGACTTGATTTCTTTTTTGTTTGTTTGTTTGGTATTTTCTGGTTGAATAACTCATTAGATTAGGCAAGTGAAAAGATAATTATTTAATAAAATAAAGGTGCAGCTGAAAGTAGTTCAGAGACTGTATGACAAACATTTCATTGCATCCATGTTGCCATCATACTGCATTTTAACTGGTCTTCCAGAAGTGACTCAGTTTTCATTTTTCACAGACTAAAATTTATGGATGTTAATAACATTGAAAATAGGAATTGAAAATTGGAAACTTAATGGAATTATTAAATTTGATCTAAAACTGTTTTGGCCTGGAGGAAATATACACCCTCAGAATAACAGGAGCTTCACATATATTTTATTTAAGGATTTTAAAGTATCGTTACAAAATAAACTAACTCTGCGTAGGAAGTATGACATAGTAGACTAAGTATGAAAATATTTTTGGTAATCCAGAAGTTCAGAAATATGACAAATATCTTGGAAGCATTCCTATTTCAATGTGTTTCTTTCTCATACTAGGGGTATCCTTTCACTGCAGGTAAATAAGAACCAGAGTTCCAGGCTGTTGAAAAAGATGGTCATGCTCTCCTCATCCCAAGCCCCCTGTTCTCACCTTTTCCGTTGCAATGGAAACTGTCTGTCCCTTATGTAATTGTGCAGCTGTGGGAGTGTTGCTCACTGCAAGAATCTAATAACAACATTCCCTGGAGTGAGTTGGTGGGGGGCGGTGCTAAGGAATTTGAGGTTTATTTTCGCTTTGCTTCCCTGAATTATTTGCCTTGTATGCTTTTTGGATTTGATGCAGGAAACAGTAGAAATCTTCAAAGCAGCCTAAAGTTGCAACAGAGTAAATAGTGTAGACCCAAAGCCTAAGTATACAAAACATACTCCTTATCCTAAGCAATATTTCTGTTTCTTAAAGTTAATTTGGAATAACTTGAAAACATAATTTATGAAAAGTCAGGCCAAACTCTCAGCTGATTCCTAATTTTCTTTTTCATAGTGCTTTTTGTTTAGCGCTTTGTCTATTGTTTTTATGGAGAAACATTATTGAGAACTGACTATAGCTTACTATGACATTGAAACTAATTCCAGATTTTGTTCATTTGACTAGTGTTTGACTATGACAATGGTCTAACAAGTTGCTTGCCATACATGTTAGAGTTGTGTATTATGATATTTTCAGGATTTGTTTGAATTAATTTTCATGTAGATGTCTGACATTTTATGTAATTTAGATTACTTAGTAAGAATTCAGGTGAAAAGGCTGTAGCACGTTGAAGCATTGCTGATTTCTGTGGAGAGTCATATATTAGCTGGTTTATACTATTTTTGATTATGGTATTTAATGACATTTATCTTCTGAGGTTTTACTGATAATTGACATTTCCTGATTTTTATTTTCTTCACAATTATTCATTAAATACCAGTTTTTGTGATTTGCAACTTCTCTGTTTAAGAAAAAAAGTGATATGGTTATGTGAAACAAAGGAAGCAGATTCTCTAGTACTACTTAGAATATTAGCTTAAACCTTGGAGTTATAATGGTATGTATATATAAGAACGTGAAATATAAATAGAATAGATACAGAAGCTGTAGTAATTAGGTTAAATTAATTAATGTAGTAATTGGCACTTAATTTATTTTATTAAAATGAGCAATTTACTTGGTTTCTGCCTTAGTATTCCAGTCAGATTTGATAGTTTGAATTCAGAAATACTGTCTTGAATGTTTACAGGTAATTGCCACATTTTTTCTACAGCCTCATCCCAACTATGTGTGTATCTCTGCTCCACGAGGTTGCACTTTATTGCAGATTGCTGATGCTCAGCCACAAAATCCAGTGTTGCAATCAGACTGAAAATTTCTCAGATTTTTCGCCTTTCTAGTTTAAATTCTGCTCACTCATTCTTAAACTATCTCTAGGTCAATGGTATCCATTCTTTTTGACTTGAAGTCAAGTGCAGAAGGGAACTCACCTTAAGAAGCACTGACCAGCACTATGTGCATCACTGTCACGTGGCTCTGCAGCTCCTTCCACTGAAGTAGTGGGTGCTGCTGTTCACAGAGTCTTGGTGGTGCAGAATTAGCACTGTTGACTTCTGTGCCTTCAGTCCTTTCAGACAGAAGTATGAAAGGGGATCATGTGGTGAGCTGCTGTGAATTCTAGATCTTCTGAACTGTTTCATCCAAGATGGAGATTCAGGGTGCCCTAGTAGGAGGATTTTAGCTTGGTTTTTTTTTTGTGTGTTGTTGGCTTTTGTCCCTCCTTCTTTTGGAGTGTCCTAGGGAGGAGTAGTGTGAACAGGGCTAGACTAACTTAGTCTGTGCTGAGCAGAATACAGAGCAGAGCTATTTTTTAATGGAAGAAGAATCTTCAGATGAGAATTCAGATGTATTTATGTAGTGCTATCATATCCAGGTTTTTACAGGCATGTTCTGTTTTTCCACCTAGAAAGCTTATCTTGATTAAATTTGAGGATTTGAGGGTACTGGTATTTCAGATACATAAGCAGCCTGATCTGAGCAAGGTGCAGGGCTACTAGGTGATCAGAGGTCCTGAAGACGGTGTTTGCAAGTGAGTAAACTGAGGTATAAGTGAAGTGTGGTTTGGACATTTCAGATTTAGTGCACACAGACAGGTAATGTGTGCAGTATTTTCTGTGTATATCCAGTGCACCCTGTGTGTTGGATTTGCTGCATATTGCACATCTCTGCCTGGGAATCCTCGAAAGTAAACAAGGATGCTCCATCTGTTGAGAGTGCCCTCTACCTTCTTCCTCTAGAAAGTCACGTTGTTAAAAGCTTCAGTAAAAACTTGCTTTTGTGGTTCTGAAAATAAACTTTAATTTAGAAGAGCATGCACATTTTCACAGCACAGTTGTCAGGAACTCGAACGTAGAAGCTCAAAGACTGCGGATTGGGCTTTACTCGTCCAGCGTTATTTGTAGGGGAGGAAGTAACGCTCTCTTTGTTACTAGGATCAGCCAAGATCTGGCTCTCATCGCACGGGAAATCAACGATGTAGCTGGAGAGATAGATTCAGTGACTTCATCAGGCACTGCCCCCAGTACCACAGTAAGCACTGCTGCCACCACCCCTGGCTCTGCCATAGACACTAGAGAAGAGGTAGGAGATCTTCATGGAGAAATGCATAAGGTTCTTCCTTTTCTTTATTTCTTTTCCTTTTAGCATTTTGCATAGCCTTTTTTAGTTATTTCCACTCAACCCGTATGCATGATCGCTACATTGTTTTTTGATTTAAAGTTCCTTTACATTTCAACAAACAACCCAGAAATTATTCTATGAACACCACTTGTCAAAAGGATGCATATTATCTGTCTGTCTCTTTTTTTCCACGAAATGTAGGACAAGGTAGTTATGTTTCTTGCTTCTCTGTAGCCTTAGATACCATTGGGTAGTATCTAAGTGCATTTAAAGATACTAGTGTGTATGCACAAATATATATAAATATACATTTAATACTTTGCATAGCTGTCCCTCTTCACAGATGACATTGTTTCATCTTCTGAACACTGAAATACTTAGGTACCATCAGTTCACACTTAACTTTGCATTTTCTTTCTTAATTACATTATCAAAAACTGCTTTGAAATAAGTTTGCCTTGTGCTTCTAATAATTCTTATTTTCTTTGACTATCTCTGGTGTGCTGTTCTATGAATATATTGACTAACTTGTTCTCATAACCGTCACAGGTCTAATGCTGGTAAACATGTTAATCTGAATTTAAGTCATCCCTTTCTCCCATACTACAGTTCACTCTAATATGTTGTAAATGTTTGCTGCATTGTTTTCATAATATTCCTTTCAAAATGTGTTAATCCATTTTTGTGTGCATAGAGTTCAGTTAATACATTGCCGTGTTTAGTATAATACTGTCTTTCTCTGTGGAAAAAAAGATATGAACAGTGATAAGAAATCTGTGATTTAGGTACTCAGGGAAGTTATAACTACACTCACATAGATACAGTTTTTAATTCTCATGGACTTACAGCTAAGCTTCAAGGAAGTAAAGCGCTCATTTTCTCAGAGCCAGTTAGATCACTCTGATTTTTTAATTACTAAATAATTGTTTTCTTCTTTAAAAAATATTGTACAGTGTGTGCATACTGCAGGTGGCAGTATCTCCTTTAAATAGTTAGAGGTGTTTCTGTAACACCATGACTAAACTGGAAAAAAGAAAATTGATAGTAATGTATTTAATTCCACAGACATATTCCATTAATTAAAGGAATAAATTGTTCAGTACCAGTTTATAGGTAACTGTTACGTTACCTGCCCATAACCAAACCTTCTGCTGGGTAATGTCGTTTTGCCATGTATGTCTAGTATTTGAAAACAATTTCATTTTTACAAGGTATTGTTACATAAGAGATGCATTATTTTATGCTCTACAAGACAACAGGATGATTTTTGATAGGTTTCTCCTAAACTGTTTCAAAAAGAAAAAAATACTCACTTGATTTTTGTATGTATCCATGATGTTTCATAAACTGCATTTTTCTTTTACCCCCTAGTTGGTTGACCGAGTATTTGATGAAAGTCTCAATTTTAGAAAAATCCCTCCTGTAGTGCACACCAAACCACCAGAGGGGAACGGTCGGCCTAACGGTGCTAGGCCTCAGCTGACAGATGCCCTTGATCCCCCAACAATTACCCGAAGGAGGACTTGGAGCAGAGATGAAGTGAGTATGCAACAGGATTCTCTCGAATAATGTGTCTTACTTCAGGCTTTTACAGTTGTCTCCCCAGCTAATATTCCAGACACTGACCTTTCTTTCCTTCCTGCAATAAGTGGCATTAATGTTGGAATTTAATTGGCAAAATGTTCAAATGTAATTATATGTGGTACTAATTAGAACACAAGTACGTTTTTTTTAAAGTTAAGATTTCAAAATATATGGAATTGTTTGTATTGATTTTCCATTAAACTAATAGTATCTTTTATTAAAAACTTATTGCAGGTTATGGGGGACAGTTTGTTGTTGTCCTCAGTCTTCCAGTTTTCTCGCAAGATAAGACAATCCATAGACAAAACAGCTGGCAAAATCAGGTGAGTCTTCAACAATCATTCTTATTACTGAAGATGTCTGCTCTCGTAAACATTCCT